CAACTTTTTGAAGTTTTTTGAACAGAAGTTATTTTAGTTTAATGCAGTTCTTGGCGAGTTTTTAAAAATCCTAAACTGCAAAATGGTCCGTTGTTTCTTCGAATAAATTGGGAAAAATCTTCGTGAAAGGTTGTGCGAAACGCGATCTTCCCGTCTTCCAAAGCATAAAAACTAGGAAGTTAAGAACGAGCAGAAAATGCTTCAAGTCAGACAGACGAATTGATGTTTAAGAAGGCAGTGCAGCGCCTCACTGGACAATTTTATAAAGTAGAAAATGACGCAAATTTTTCTAAAAAAATTATTTTTGAAGTGATAACTTTTTATGGGAGGGTGAACCGATTTTTCTCGGTCACGGGGGCTCCCACTTGGGACGCACATATGCACTTTGAATTCAATATTTTTCTCTTAGTGCGGGTGCATCTGTAGATCTAGTAAACTTTTCCAATACACATTGCGTTATTAATCTGACAGTAATTTTGATATATCAATTATTGAGTTTGATATTGTTGTGTTTGGTGCAGTTTATTCTATATCGCTGATATAACGTTGATAAATAAATCAACAAATTAACAAGGGAGAAGCTGCAGATACTGCAAATACTAAGGATGCTCATGTACTATATGCATGTTCGAGTTTCGCGTTCTTTTTAATTTCCAATTAAAGTACACACACAATTATACATACTAAAACAGTTTAAGTGCAAGAAAATGCGGATCGTCCATAAATTTACAGAAAAATGTATTATAAACTTTTGAAAATCATGTTCAAACGACCGGGTATTTATCATTGCAAATGAGATTGCCCATTGCCGTGTACTGTTAAATGTTTTAAAAACTAACAATCGATGTTGTGCAACAAAATTGTACGATTCAAAGTTCCGAACTGGTAAAATATTACTACCTACTTGTTTAGTGAATTTCATCGGAAACAATTGTTAAACCAGATGTTGAGCGGATATTTTCTAAAGAAGGCAGGGTCAATTTAAGAAAAACGCTCAAGATTAAGTGCAAATAAAGTGTCGCAACTATTATTAATAACATTTAATGCAATAATATGTTCTATTATTTGCTATTTTATTTTGTAACAACAAATTATCAATATTTAGGTATCTATTTTGTAATCTTTCATATTTAACATAAAATGATAAACATCATTACTGTTTTGTAATAATATGTAATAAATATGTTTTGAATTTAATTGAAAAAATATTTGAGTTTACCTCGGTTATTTCAGAAAACATGAGTTCTGTCTTCTTATTTTCTATCACGCAACGCATTCTTGATGTTAAGACGATACGAATCTCTCTTCAGCTTATAGTTGCAAAATATGTAAAACGAATT